GCACCCCGCCGTCTCGTCCACCAGCTGATCAATGTTGGGGAGAGGGAACGGGTCCATGGGGCACGCCTTGTTCAGGTCAGTGTAATCAACACACATTCTAAACGTCGGCGGTTTCTGGGCGAGGACAACGTTGGCCAACCATGTCGGGTACTTCACCCCTTTAATGTGTTTGATTGAGAGGAGCATGGCGACCTCCCCTTTGACGAAGTCCCGCCTGTCGGCGAACAAGTAGCGCCGCTTCTGCTTGACAGGCGCGGAGGCCGGATCGACGGTCAGCCGGTGAGTGATCACCTGGCGGCTGATGCCTGGCATATCGTCCGGGCCCCACGCGAAGACAACGGCGTATGACCGTAGGACGAGGAGGATGGCGTCTCGTTGGTCCTGGGGGAGTTGCTTTCCGACTCTGAGAACCCGCTCCGGCCGGGAGGTATCCAGAGGGATTTCCTCGACCTCCTCGGCCGGCTCCGCATGTGGCCTCTCCTCGTCCATGGCGACGGCGGCCGTGATGGTGTCTATCCTCTGGCCTTCCCTCTCGGTCGGCCTCGTCAGTTTGAGGTAACATGCCCTGGCTATCCTCTGGTTTCCTCTGGCGTAGCCGATGCCGTCGTTGGTGGAGAACTTCAGGCACAAGTGCTTCATGGAGATGATGGCCTCCAAGTCCTCCAGCGCTGGCCGGCCCAAGATCAGGTTGTGGGCGCACTGGAGGTTGACCACCATGAACTCCATGTCAATTCTGGCGTGGTGGGGGCCGTCACCGACCTCCACGGGGAGGACTATCGTGCCCTCGGCGTCGATAGAGTCCCCGGTGAAGCCGGATAACGGTGTCTTGATCGGCTTCAGCAGGTCTCTGTCCAGCTTCAGCTGATTGAAGGTGTCCAGGTACATCACGTTGACGGAGCTCCCCGTATCGATGTAAGTACGGTGGATGATGGAGTCACCGATCTCACATCGGATGACGAGGGCGTCCCTGTGTGATTCCGTACCCGGAGGCAGATCCTTGTCGGTGAAGGTGATCGCCTCCGTTCGCTGCTTCTTCGGCTGGGGGGGGGGGACGTGGGACACCTCCCCAATGTAAAGGGATTGGGCCCATTTCTTTCTCTGAGTGGCGGAGTCCCCCCCAGTGTTCCCACCTACGATGAGGTGGATGTGATTCTTCTTTGGCGGGGGCTCTTCGAAGTCCTCGTCGTCGCTGAGCCTACCAATCTCCCACTTCTTCGCAGAGGGTTCGCCCCCATGTTTGCCGGTGTTTACCCAAGTGTTCTTGCGTGGGCCACCTTTGACAAACTGGGAGAGTTCCCCCTGGCGAATAAGGCGCTCGATGGCCTTCTTCAGTGTGATGCAATCGTCGGTGTTGTGCGACGAGTTCTTGTGGAACCGGCAGTATGTGCCGCCCTGCTGGATGGCAAGGATCTCCTCGGCCGGCCGAGGAGCCTGCTCGATGAGGCCGTGCTTCTCGGCATAATCGAGGATGGTGCCGACCGAGTAGGTGAGGGTTACCCCCGGCCGTTCCAACCTCGGCCGCCAGTGGCGATCCTTCTTACTCTGTCCACCAGAGCCGTGATGGCCCTGGGCACCCTGGCCGGCCGGGGACGGACCCGGGGCCGGCGAAGGATTTGTCTTCTTGGAGGGATGGCCCCCCTCTCTCTTGTGATTGTGGAGCTCGTCGGCGTCGGCATACAAGCCTCCGCGCTGGAGCGCCTTGGCGTACGACCTCGGGGGGTCGGTGATGAGGCTCCTAGCGTACGGGGAGCTGCGGAGGGCTCCCTGATACAAGGCGAGGAGGGTGCGCTCATCGGCCCCCTCGACCTCCTTGGTTTCCCTCGTCCAACGATCAATGAATGACCGGAGGGATCCTCGTGCTGCTGCTTGACGAAGAGGAGGTGGGTGAAATACTTCTTCGCGCGCTTCCTCCCGGCAAAGTGAGTGAGGAAGCGTTGGGCGAGATCCTGCCATGAGTCGATGCTCCCTTTGGGGAGCGCGTTGAACCACTCGTACGCTGGCCCCTCGAGAGTAGAGAGGAACCAACGGCAGAGGTATTCGTCGGACGCGTTCACCATCAGCATGTTGTTCTGGTAACGGCTGAAGTGTTCCTGGGGGTCTGATCGGCCGTCGTAGGACTTGATGGCGTTCCCCCTGTACTTCTCCGGGATGGGGGCCGAGAGGACCCTGTTGGTGAAAGGGGTCCTGGTCCTGACCTGGATGATGGGGTCACCTCGCCCCTCGGCCAGCTCCCTCTCCAGGGCGCTAACCTTGTTCATGAGCGCGTTGAGGCCGGGGTCGTTGGAGGCGCCGGCCGTAGGGATGTTGGCCGACTGCTTGGCCTCCATCTGAGCCAGCCTCCTTTCCAGCTGGGCGATGACCTCGTCCCGGGGGTCCCTGGCGGCCGCAGCGGCGCCCGGCTGGTTCCTCATGCGCTCGTTGTGAGCCGCGTTGATCTGGTGACGCACGTCATCCTCGTGCAACTTTCCCCTGCCCTTGTCCGGGCGGGGCTGGTCCGCTGTCCGGGACACAGACCCCAAGCTTTCCCTCGGCGAGCCAGGACGAGGATCACCAATCCGTCCCGCCATCCTCTCCGAAACCGGACGACGGCGCGTGTCGCCTAGCCTATTGAAGGCAGAGGCTTTTCCACGCGCTGGGGTCTGCCCAGGCTGAAGAGGGGAAGCAGGGTGGGAGTGGGACGACGCCGTGTCCTGGGGCACCACCCCCTCATCGTTGCCTATCTGGACGGCCAACGGTTGGGGCTGAGGAGGTTGAGTGACGTTCCCCCCGGTCCTTGGCAAGAGTGCGCTGAGGACGGTGGGGTTCTGAGCCAGGCTGGCGATGATGACCGACAGCGCGGCCTGGACCTGCGGATCCACGGACGGAGAGGCCGCGGCCATAGGTTGGGCCGGGGCGTGGTCCGTCTTCTCAGTCCGTTTCTTGTCCAAGCCGAGGCGGGCATCGGGGGCTCCGCCGTTGAGTTGGTTGCGGAGGTCCGTCGTGAGGTTGAAGGCCTCCTGGAAGAGGTCCCCTCCGCCGACCTGGTCGGCCGTGGCGTCCTCATCGTGCTCCCTGGGCTCTTGGTCCTCAGGGATGACTTTGCTGATGAGGTTGCGGTTTGACTTAGTTCTCCCCATGATCAGTGGTTAGCTGTGCTTGGTAGCGACGAAGGGTGCTAACTTGATTGTTCTAGCTCTCAACGAGAGCACCAAATGATAGGGTATATATCTAGAGAGAAGTGAGAGCTAGAGAGAGAAGTGCAATAATATGCTTCAATAGAATGATTTCGTAACCCCTATAACTACTCCCAAGGGGAGTATTTATAGAGAAAATACGGGCTGGGCTCCCAAGCCTTGGGTTGGGCTCCCAAGCCTTGGGCTTGGGAGGCCCATTTACAACTGAACCGCTACTGGGCCGAATACAAAGCCACTAATAGGCTGTACGAATGAATAAGTATAAAATCCGGTTCTGTGAGGTCTTCGTGGCCGACGAGGGCGTGGCCGACGAGGGCACGGCCAACGAGGGCGCGGCCGACGAGGGCACCCGGGTTCCTTGGGCTCAGGACCATAATTTGAGTTGGCCAGGTTTTCGGCCGACGGGGGCGTCTTGGCCGACGAGGGCGCCACTCTGTGTCTTGTGCTTTCTGTTCTTCCGAGTATGTGGGTCCGGGGGCTCAGACCCATATACTCCATCAAATATATTAATTATTATTATTATTAGCATTTTAGAGTTTTAGGGCTAGGGAATCATACAATCGTTTTGATTATTAATTGAATTTTTCAGTACATAATTAAATAGTTTTGTTTTTTATATATAAGTATTTTAATATATACCAATATTGAAAATGTTTTTTAGAATGGATAATGAACATGTTGCCAAGAAGGGAAAGAAGTTGATTTCATCATTCTTTTCGAAAGTGAATCGTCAAACTGGTGAAGGGAGTTCTGAACCTATACCTACAACAGTGCAAGATCTAGTCAATGAGGATCCTCCACATGCTGTAGTCCCTGAAATTCAAACTATCTCAAATTTGGATTTCAATGCTCGATAGACATGCTCGAATGTAGAAGTTTAGAGTATTCAAATTTTTATTAATCATTAATAAATTTATAAAAATTGCACTAAAACGTTTAAATTTTATGATATGTACAATAGTATAAATTATATGTGAACGATAGGCTCGTGTTCGGATCAAAACATCACTATGTTCGATCTCGGCTTGAATAATTATTCAAACTCAAAACCTACTCCGTGTTCGAGTTCGAAACTTGTTAAACTCAATTCATTAAATTAGATTCGAAATCAAGCTCGAACTCGAGTATATAATTCAAAAAAATCTTTGTTCGATAACAACACTGGGCTAAATTTGGTATGTATAGTAAAAAAAAAATAATGCTGCTTGGCCCACCCCATCTCTCGATCCTGGATCCGCCCCTGGTTATATCCACCATTTACTTTTGGTGTTCTCCTTTATTCTTTTATGAAGGATTTATCAAGATTCATTTTGAAGTAATGTTATCTATATTTTCTATATATTTCGTATGATAGAAGATTTTATTTAAAAAAAACTGAGAATAATATTCTAGTTTGAGTAATAACAGATGATAATAGTTGTTGATGTTAATACCTGCAGGATATGATGATTTCTTGAAGAAGTATGAGCAGATTCGTGCTGATAACGTGTTGTGAAATGAAGAAGATGAAGACCAAGTTTTAATATATATATATATATAACCTCTAAATTTCTTCTTAATATCTGAATATTTTCTGAGTTTGTGAGTGAGTTTACAATGAATGAAACAAGCCCTATTTATACTAGCCAAACTTAGGGATGAATCATTTAGGAATGATTATACATAATTTGCTGGCAGTATTGAATCTAGCTAGCCATGTGTGTGATTACAAGGATTTGTGTTTACTTAGTGTCCTGATTACAAGGATGAATATTCACACTTAGTCAATTCGGTGTTTTTACAACATTATGCTATTATTTTGATCATTATTTCAAAAAACATTTTAATCTTTCCCAAACATTCCACGTAAAAGCTACCAAACCGTCTCCAAAGTTCTAAGTTAAAATCTTTCTTCAACATCTACTGCTTTTTCCTTTCAGACTCGCAGTTAATTAAGCCGAGGAAGATCGAGATCTGACCTCTCTCTTGATCTCAATATATTTATCATTCTATACGCATTATTCATACATAGATACAGCTGAACGCAATTGAGGGAAATGAGGAAGAATATGGCGGTGGCTTCTTACGTCGTCGTTCTATTCATAGTCTGCTGTACGCCGCCGGTGAGATCGGATTCATCGAATCACAGGTACAAGGCAGGAGATTCAGTCCCTCTATACGCCAACAAGGTCGGACCTTTTCACAATCCGAGGTAATCAATTTTTCATCTTCTTTTAGATCTCTTCATGAGCTAGTCTGTTCATTCCATTGAACTGGATACATTGTCAATTTTCTCCATTATTAGCATTATGGATAGGTGGATGTGTAGACGAGCTATGATTTTTTGACGCTGTGGTGATCTGATGCGTTTTCTTCCTTGAAACTGTGGTGACCTGATGCATTTTCTTGCTCTTAGTTTACTATTCAGTGGGATACTTATTGGCATTGCCAATCGTTATTTTCAATCTTGATTAGAATGTGACATGATCGATTGATAAGGAAATGCTATAGTTGGACTTTCAAAGAGTGCAAAATTAGGCCCCACTTCTATGATGTAAGCTTTTGGGGTTAAGCTAGGCAATGGGGATGTTTTCCAATCATATTTGAATGTTGCTAGGTATAAAAGATGCATATTACTAATAATTAGGCTCAGTCTGCATCACATTTCTGATTTGGTCAATTATGACTCAACATTTGAAATTCAAATATGTAATCTATTTTCTTGTTGAATTCAGCCAATGTGATTCATCACTCAGCGATACAATCTCTTGTTATTTGGCTGCTGAGTCTATTACAGATGAAGTGTGGGCAATTGGTTAATGATATTTAAATTTGAACAAACTATTATAAAAAATGTGGTGCTGCACAAACTGCTAGGTAGTGGTTGGTTGGACTTGGTTCATGGTATGTCTTATATTTTCAAGTGACAATTTACCACAAAACATAAAGCTCAACCAAACATGTCCATAATTTTAAGCAAACTCAAATTGAGTACATGCCTACCCATGTGTACTAGCCTACTAGGCAGTCTTTCAGGTTGCTAAATCCACAATAAATAGGGTGAAAATATTGAGCAACCACCCCAAACCACTACTGGTACCCACCCAATGTGAATGAATTAATTTAAGGGGAAATTCATTCCGAATATCACACCTTTCATTGGTCTTTTCACAAGGTTCAAAATTGCGTATTCTGTAGTCGTGGTGTATTTTAAGATGGCATATTGCATAAGCCTCATTGTGTAATGAGGCATATGCCTGATGCGTAATATATATAGACACACACACATTTAAAACAAAACAAATTATTTATCAAATGTCATATTAAAAGAAATTATAAAATACGGTTAATGTTCCCCAACATTTACCCCATTGATAGGTGGTTTGCCTACCGTTTTTTTAAAAGAGGTCAACATCCTATCAAAAGTCTTCAAATGCTAATATATAATCTTAACTTTGCATAATATTAACAGAAAATTAATATTAACAGAAAATTGACATAATATATTAATGTTGAGGTTGAAGTTCTTTTCTACAGTTGAAAAGCCATATTTCGACTCTAGAAAAGCTTTCATGGCTCTGCCGTTAATATTGAGAATGCAAACTTACAGTAGGGGAAGGAGAGAGGTTTTATGTATGGATTGATTAGGTAGGCCAGATTGTGCTTAAAGAAAGAATGAGTGTATGTAACATTAGTCATTTTCCTTTTTTCCCTTTCAGGTTTATTAAAATTGAATAATTAACATTTCTTTCCATTGCTTTTGAAAAGAGGAGTGAATACATGAGATAAAAAGGTGAGTTTTGATTGGATAAAAAAAGGTTGAAGTTAACATTAAATATACAAACTGATGGAAAGATTGATATGCAGAAAGTTAATATACAAAGTGATGAAAAACCTTAATATGCAGAAAATATTAAATCTCAAAAATATATAGTAATAGTTAATCTGAGAAGCTTGAAAGCTTGAAAGCCTGAAACGGTACTGCAGAAGAGGAAATAAGGTTCTGAGCTTGGGACACCTGTGATGTGCAGATGAAGATGCAGCCACACAGGTCTTCTATCTCATAAAGGGGTAAACAGAAGTACAGGACTGTTGTAGACTAGAAGTTGCTACAGGAGTAATACTAATTACGTACTTTAAAAATTAAAAAGTGGGCCCAATCGGCCCAAAAATACCCCTAACCTCCTATTGTCCATGCCTCAAGGCGCCTTATTTTGTACTGAAGACTGCGTGCGCCTCTGCGCCATATAGTATACACTACAAAACATGTGAAGCCATGCAATTTTGCGGCATACAACATAAAATGGGTGAGGCGCGCCTCATGGCATAATGGCATTGCACAATTACAAACAATGCCTTTTGATAATGGTCCAGTTTAACTATAATCTGAAAAATCCAACATTTACTCCTTATCCGCTTTTCATGGGCCATGTTGACCTTGACCCCTGACTAGGTAAACAAGTCATGGCACACTTTTACCCCATTCCTCTGAAATGCTCATCGGTGCAGGTAGGAGGCCACCACATCCAGTGATACCGCCATTTATTATCATTATGTTACTTTCTTGCATTACATAATGCATGTATATGGTTCATATAATGAATGGTTCTTCTTACTTAGTTTCAAGTAAATTCATTTACAAGAATCTATTAGTTAATCTAAATGCTGGACATTTGAATTTTAATTATCGAAAAAAAGAAATAAAAGTCTATATTAACAAGAATGTGATAATCTCAGTATCTCACATAGACCAATGAAGGATCAAAGTTCAGATCACAATGACCAAGCACACCTTTAAGATTTTAGGGAATAGTGCTAGTTATTAGTGCATCAATACATGCATATTATCTTTTCAGGAACTAACACTCCTTTCCCTCCTGGAGGAAGAAAACTTTCATGGGCAGTTACACACTTGCAATTAGATTCGCTGTAGTACTGTACGGTATGATGAAATATAAATAAGTATGATCCACGAAAGCTGAATATGCTTTTCACGAAGGTGATATATGAGTTATGCATAGTAGTAGTGGTGGAGTCTTTATGATGTTTTATTAATGGCAGTATTCTTTTCTTTCCCCTCTTGCAGTGAGACATACCGTTACTTTGATCTTCCTTTCTGTCATCCAGGTTAGATATCATTCGGGATAAATGATGTACTCTTAAAAATACATTTTATTGGTATTGGTTTTAAATTATTTTTTAATGGATATATTGGGCAGACAATGTGAAAGTGAAAGATAAAAAGGAAGCCCTTGGGGAAATCTTAAATGGTGACCGTTTAGTCACTGCACCTTACAAGCTTGACTTTATGCATGACAAGGACTCAGAAACTGTATGCCGCAGGAGGCTGTCAAAAAAAGAAGTTGCACAGTTCCGTGAAGCTGTTGCCAAGGATTATTATTTCCAAATGTACTATGATGACCTTCCATTTTGGGGTTTCCTGGGGAAAGTTGATAAGGATGGAAAATCCGACCCTAGTGAATACAAATATTATCTATTCAAGCATCTTCACTTTGAGATCTTCTACGACAAGGATCGTGTGATTGAGATTAATGCACGGACTGATCCTAATGCCCTTGTTGACATCACTGAAGACAAAGAAGTTGATGTAGACTTTGTGCATTCTGTGAAATGGAAAGAAACAAACACACCTTTTGAGAAGAGGATGGAGAAGTACTCCCAGTCTTCTTCTTTGCCACATCACTTGGAAATTCACTGGTTTTCAATCATCAACTCCTGTGTGACTGTTCTCCTCTTAACTGGATTTTTGGCCACTATTCTTATGCGGGTCCTTAAGAATGACTTCGTAAAGTAAGTTCTGTTTAAGATTTAGACCCCTTTGGTAAGGCTCAAAAGGTCTGAATCTGTTTAAATTGCCTAATTGTGGCGGTAATGGCTTTATATTTAGCTAAAATAAGTTGGAGGTATCAATTTCAGTCTCTTTCAACTGAAAAAGTAACTCTTTACTTTTTTTCATTATCAGTCTATTTATCAAGTGCAGAGATAATACTATACTAGTTAGTGTTTGGTGAAAAATCTGGCTAGTAAGGCTGATAAGCCAAAATTAATGTGTACCAAACTGGCTTATTTATTCCCAAGTGTTAGCCTGCTAATCTGTTTGGAGTCTTGTGTCTAGTCAAAACCTTTACCGATTTGGAATTGTTTCATGATTGGAAAAGATATGCTCATGATGAGGAGACTGCTGATGACCAAGAAGAAAGTGGATGGAAGTACATCCATGGTGATGTTTTCAGGTACCCAAAGTACAAGTCTTTGCTGGCAGCATCTCTTGGTTGCGGTACTCAGTTATTTACACTGTAAGTGTGCCTTAGACTTTTTGTTGCTCAGTTTAGTGCATCTTTGTTCTTTTGCATTAAAACCTCTGTCCTCCAAAAAGTGCCTTGTTTGACCAACACACCACCTTTTTTGGTAAGGTGCACCTGCCATGCAACTTAATTTTTTTTATTTTTATTGGTTTCACTATGCTTATATAATATACTTATTTGTAACGGAAAACTGTCAAATTTGTCCTCGTACTATTTTGGTCCTCGTACTATTGTCAAAAAGTCAATTGAGTCCTCATACTTTTCAGTGAATCAATCAAGTCCACAAAGTGTTTAAAAATAATCCAATTGGCCTTTTAGCCAGTTGAGATCCGGTCAGCTGGTAATTGTACACACATGGCAATCCACGTGGATATTTTTTATTTTCCTTTTTTCTTATCTCTTTCTTTCTTCCTCCCTGAGAATTTCTTATTCTCCACGTTCTTCGTTCTTCCCCTAACCCCTGCCTGCACATTTCTTTCTTTATTTCGAGAAAATTATTTCCTTCCACAAATTTAAAGCATCAACCTCTGTAACCCAAACTCCCTCAACCGCCGGCGCCGTCCGTCCGGCGCTCAAAACTTCTCAACCCCCCCCCCAAAAAAAAAAAACTCCCTAATATGTTGACCCTTAGCTCGTCGCCCACGACCTCTTTAATCTGCCACTGGTGGCCTACATCCACAGTGTATCCAGTCGTTGTCGCTCTTCTCCCGTCACCCACAACATCCCAATGTAACGCCGTCTCCCACCTCCGGTCGCCCACAACCTCCCAACGTTACCGCCATCTCTCGCCTCAGGTCGCCCACAACTATCCCACAGGCTGCCGCGCGCTTCCCATCTCCCATATGTGCTTCCTCTCTGCAACACCTTCTCCAACAGTCATTGCCTGCCGCCCATCCAAAAGTAATCGGGAAGTAGTGAAGAAAGAAAAAGAAAACGTAAAAGAGAGAATATAGATGGGACGAGGTAGAAAACCAGGGAAGAAAGAAAATGAATGGGAAGAAGAAAGAAAGAGAATTGAGAAACAAATTAAAGAAAAGGAACTGGTCTATGGCTCGATGCACATGCATGAGGAAGGAACCAGCTGGGAAAGAATGAAAGAAAGAAAAAGAAAAAGAGAAAAAAATGAAAATGAAAATTATTGTCACGTCAGTGTCCAAGTCAGCATTAACCGGCAATGTTTACACTTAACCGACTAAATAGCCAAATTGATCATTCTTTAATACTTTGTGGACTTTATTGATTCACTAAAAACTACGAGGACTCAATTGACTTTTCGACAATAGTACGAGGACCTATTGGACAGATTTTCCTATTTGTAAATGCCTTTTCTTATGAAGACTACTCAAAAATATTTGGAAAAATTGAAAATAATAATCCCAACTATTGGTGGTCCGTAATTAATAATCCCAACTATCGATTATTTCTAGGTGGTCCCAATTATAGGTATCATTTTATGAAAATAGTCCCTCACCGTCTACAACCTGGTATAACAGGTCATTTTTAAATGAAAACTAAGCATAGCTATAAATAATCTCAACTATAGTTGCTCTTTTTTATTAATCACAATTATTAACGCTCAATTTATGGAAGATGTAGAAATATTTTTATAAATCTTCAAACTAAATGTTTTTACACTAGAAAATAATTACAAAATTCTAAAAATCTACTGAGGCTAAAAAACTTTTTAGTCATTGTTTAATTTATTTTCAGTAATTTTTTTTTTCCAATTTGTTTTCCCTATTTGTGTTACCAATCATTATTTTCCTTATTCAGGTTTACACATTTTGTTCTAAAAAGTATACGGTGATTTAAAATTTAAGGATTTAGAGCTTTTTTCTAGCTTTTTCATGAAAAAATTATTTTGTTTAATTTTTTATGCTATCTTAACTCTAAAAATATAAATTTTCTATTTTTTCCATTTTAGTATTTTTAATTTCTTTCTACTTTCATTATTTTTATATTATTATATTCTATAAGTTATATTCTATAAATTATACTCCCTGCTCACACTCTGATTATTGACTGACGATAAAGCAACTTAATCCCTGCTCACACTCTGATTATTTTTAGTAAATAAAATTTACATATTCATAAACTACATTAAAAACGCTACAAAGCCTGATCAAAAAATGTAAATTTGATAAAAATTTGATATATAAAGCAAAAGATTAAAAATAATTTAAGTTGACCATGTGAATAGTGGATGGGAACCTTTGAATGGGACGGAGGGAGTATGTTATAGCTTATCGTTTAAATATCAAGATTTAGGGTATAGGTTCTGGCTATTTTTAGCGAAAAGGTATTCATATTATAAAAGTGATATAATTGAAATTGTAAAAAATGTATAAAAAGTGTAAATAGCTTGAAATAAGGATGAAAGTGTATGAGTAGAGGATAAAAAGTGAGAAAAGTAAGAAGATTCATGATATATAAATGAAACGTTTACAAAACTAGGAAAATGGTGCATGTAATAAAATATTTATATAAAATTATATAAGAAAATTTAATAGATAAGGATGGAGTACTTTTTTTCAGTTAACTTGCAACATTTTTTGATTTATTATATTGGGACTACTAAAATGGATCGACCATAGTTCAAATATATATATATATATATATGTGTGTGTGTGTGTGTGTGTGTGTGTGTGTGTGTGTGTGTGTGTGTGTGTGTGTGTATTAACCTTGACAACCGGTGGCTGGTCACAAGGAACTATTGTTGGAAGATGGCCCATATAGTTTATAGCTAAATATATCCCCAACTATCGTCAAATTTATCCTATTCTCTCACTTCTTAAAAAAAGACTCAAACTTCAACTTTTCTTACAATTACACTTTCAATGGATGATTTAGTCAAATTTAAGAAGAAAATCATATTTATATTTCATACTTTTTCATTTCCTTCCAGTTTTAAGTTTGTAAACTTGTATTGCTTATATCTTTTTTATACAAAGCTTTTTTCTACAAAGAATAATCTTTTTCTACTTGTAATAAAATTATTATTACTTATAATTAATCAACTTTAGGTGATTAACATGTGAAAGGTAACTACAAAGATGAAATTTTCACATACAACTATATAGAAAGAGTTCAAAATTTTCTAGGTAACACATAAATTATATTAAATAAATATTAGTTATTTATTAGAGTTTAATCTATTTTAGAAACTTCTATAAAACACAAATATATTAGCTACATAGCTCACTGGTTAGTTGGAGTATCATTTTATATTAGTTTTAAGATTTTATTAGAAAATTTTCAATTATTAGATTAGTATACAAAATTAATTTTTTTAGGTTTGATTTAAGTTTTTGCTTATGCATGAAAATAAATAGAACTAAACAATTTAAAAAATTATGAAATTTAATACTAGTATATAAAAGTATTGAGATTGATAGAAGTGTGTAATTTTGTTAAAACAAAACCGAATTGCATAATTGTTCAAAAAGATGAAGTTTGAGTCTTTTTTTTGATAAAAATTAAAGAACAAGATAGGTTTGAAATAAGCTAATAAGTCCAGGAATGATTGATAGTTGAGATTATTAACGGTGGACAGGCAATGGTTAGGATTATTGTTTTCATTTTTTTTCAAATTATTTTCATGCGATCAAACATGATACTTTTTGGGGGGAAAGCCGTTTTGAAATATGGCTCTTTTTTAGATAGGAGAGTGTATTAAAATTCAAATGAGCTTCTACAATTTTCAATGCTGTTCTTGACCTTTCAATGCTTCCATTTCGTAGGACAATCTTTATTTTCGTTCTTGCTCTGGTTGGTGTGTTCTACCCTTACAACCGAGGTGCTCTTTTTACTGCATTGGTAGTCATATATGCTCTTACTTCTGGAATTGCTGGCTATACTTCTGCTTCTTTCTATTGCCAACTAGAAGGAACCAACTGGGTATGTTCATGAGCTTAATTCCCGTACTGTATTTAACTAACTAGTGTTCAAAGTTTGGGATATTTCAACTATTATTCCCAACTGATAATAATAATAAAGAAGTATTGTTATTTTACAGGTCAGGAATTTGTTATTGACCGGGGCATTGTTTTGTGGGCCCCTGCTCCTCACCTTTTCTTTTTTGAACACCGTAGCCATTGTTTATAGTGCCACAGCAGCACTGCCATTTGGCACCATTGTGGTTATCTTTTTAATATGGGCACTTGTGACATCACCTTTGCTCGTCTTGGGAGGAATTGCCGGAAAGAATAGCAAGGCTGAGTTTCAAGCTCCTTGCCGTACCACCAAATACCCAAGAGAAATCCCACCATTGCCTTGGTATCGTGGAGCTCTACCTCAGATGGCGATGGCTGGTTTTTTGCCGTTCAGTGCCATATACATTGAACTTTACTACATTTTCGCTAGTGTTTGGGGCCACAGGATTTACACAATTTACAGCATCCTGTTTATTGTCTTCCTTATTCTACTCATTGTTACTGCCTTTATTACGGTTGCTTTGACCTACTTTCAACTTGCTGCCGAAGACCATGAGTGGTGGTGGAGGTAAGTTATGATGGTTTGAGTGTTTATTGTTCCTTTGTATTATTATTATTATTAGGGAAATTACCCTGAATAGGACTAAAAAGGGTTGTATATTTCAAAATAGGACTGATGTTTTTATTCCCATAATAGGACTAATTACTGTCATGTTTTGGCAGTACCAAACTTTAAACATGACAGTATTTTCCAAACTTGGTAGTAATTACTCTTGTTTTGGGAATAAAAACATGTCAATCCTTTTTTGGAATTTTCAAACTCTTTTACTCCTATTTCAGGAGATTTTCCTTATTATTATTATTATTATTATTATTATTATTATTATAAATGATATTCTTTTGCATATTTGGTTTCTTTTAACCTTGAATTGATTGATGAAGTTCTTCCCATTATGTACATTCAGAGTGCATACCTTTGTTTTGGAAGGGAGTTAAGGCTCTGTTTGGTTTGAGGAGAAATATTATGTTCCTGAAAAGATTCTCTGGACTTTCCTGTGTTTGGCAATGGGAAAACAAAATTTCTAGAGTTTTTTTGTGATTATTTGAAATCTTGTAGCAAAATATTTCCCATTTGCAAAATAGGAAGTTACTTTCCTGTCAAATGAATTCCCTTTTGTGTGTTGAACATTATATTATTAGTTTTCCAGAAATATTACGAAAAAAGAAAACTTTTACTATGGAGAACACTTTCTGGAAGGGATCCTGTTTGTTTCCAGTAAATAACTTAAGCAAAACGTTTTCGCGAAATTGTTTTCCTAGAAAATAAGTTGTTCTATTTATACAATATTTGGTCCAGACAAATAGAAAATGTAAACTGAGCCATAAACATTTTCCTACTAAGGGTATGAAACCCACTGTTGAAACTTCCATTCAAGGGTTAGGCAATATTGTGGTGCAAACTTGTTCTGATTTTTGCATGTGTGTAATTTTGGTGGTCAATAATAGGTCATTCCTTTGCGGTGGATCAACTGGATTATTCATCTATGCATACTGTCTCTATTACTACTATGCACGTTCGGATATGTCAGGGTTGATGCAAACCTCCTTCTTCTTTGGGTACATGGCTTGCATTTGCTATGGCTTCTTGCTCATGCTCGGCACCGTCGGTTTCCGTGCTTCCTTATTCTTTGTTCGTCATATATACCGCTCCATCAAGTGCGAGTGAGTAACAAAGAAAATCTTTAAGCAGGCCCGACACCACCACCTTCTACTCCCTTGTAAGGCCCCCATACATCCCCGCACCACAAATTAAAACTTGATGGTAGGGTGATTGAGGAAGAGGACATGTGCTGTAGAACTGTAGGTTTTTGTTTCCAAGTGGTAGCTTGTACTGTTTTTTATTGTCGCACAAAGGCACTCTTTAAAACAATACATTTCATATCCGTATTGTAATATTGGAACGGAACTTATTAAATTTCTCCATACATACATACATGTTATATATATATATATATATATATATATATATATATATATATATATATATATATATATATATATATATATATATATATATATATATATATATATATATATATATATATATATATATATATATATATATATATATATATATATATATATATATATATATATCAAGTCTATTGCTGTCGATATACATGTTCTCTCTAGGCTTCAGTGCCTCAAAGCTCCCCACCCTCTCCCTCTCTCTAAATGAAAACCATTCCATCTAGGGATGGACCGGGCCGGGATTGGGGCAGGATTGGGTTTTGGGATGAAGGCCCGGTACTGGCCCGGGTTGGAACTGGGACCAGGCCGGGACCGTGTCGGGTCGGGTCTGCGTATTTTTTTTAAAAAAAATTGTTTAAAATGGAAAAAAATAAAAAAAGGCCTGGCCCCGTCCGGATTCTAAAATTTGTGCAATGGATTCTAATTTTTTGAGTTGTAGCCAAGTGATTGATTAAATGTTTATTTTAATGACATAGATGCAATCGTACATTCGTACAATGTCATCTTTTGAAGATTTTCTTATAGGACTAAATTTTGAATGTTTATGTAATATATTCTTGTGTGTAGTGTGTTTCTAAATGCTTGACAATCTCATTTCAAAGTTCTCACTTACATTACATTGAACGTCGCATATTGAAATTTTCATTTCATTTTGGAAAATAATTATTAGATGGTAATTGTATCATCACTTATTAATGAGCTAAATCTGAACACGACTCGTAATGAAACGCACCGTCCATAAAAAAACCATGTTTTGTAGGTTAAATTATTGAATAATAACAAGAACAAAAATAATGATTTTTTATTAGTTAAACAATTATTTGATGTGCTTAATGATCGAGTGGCTAAAAATTTTGTTCTGTATACGCTGGAAAATAGACTGGAGGTCCATTACAAAGAATTTCAATAACGTTCATTGTTTCATTATATTAGGGCTATATATATAACTTCGATCTATTGTGAGTACAAAAGATAAATGAATTATTATGCATTGTTCAATTAATTCCCCCCTGAGACACTCCCATTAAAGATCTCAATGGTCTCACTCTGGCCCACACTGTGCCATCTAAATGAACGATCATCGTCCATCACGTTCTGCTTGTAGATGAAGAAGTAGCCTTCTTCCGGCAGCTCCAAATCCTGCTCCTCCTTCAATCTTTCAAGCTCTTTCCTCAACTCTCCCACGTTATCCGCCGGATTCACATCCACCGCAAACTTCTTCGTCCCGCACTTGGACATTACCATCACCCGAAGAAGCTTCTTCGTCCCACTCCCGCTTGCGTTTCCAGACGAACCGGATGACGTCGCCGGAGAAGGCTTCACCTTGGCGCCCACCTCTATTTCCGAATCTTGGGCAAGTTCGTAATCACCCAAAGTCCGGCCATCCAGCAACTCCGTTCCGTTTACATAAACCGTTATCTGGCGACCAGCCGCCGGAGTCCCCCCTGTTTCTTTATTAATTCTCTCCTTCAAAGTCCGGATGGTGTCGCAGACGTCCATTTCCAGTGAAATGCCAGGTTTATCGGACCCCCGGAATTTCAAGAAGACGCGGATGGGTTTCCGCGCCGCTGCCGCCGGGGGTGACCGCACCGGGGATTCATGGCCATTAATGCCTTCGCTGCAGGAGACCAGGAGACGAATGTGGGAGTTGTGGAGGATGTCGGAGTGGTGGACGTCGAGGTCATCCGGGAGCACCTCCCCGGCGAAGACTAAGGTTTGTGCGGCGGCGGGAATGCGTCGGAGCTTCTGGATCTTTTCCTTTATCTCCAAGACGGTGTCGAAGTAGCCAACTTCAATGGTGAAATGGGAGCCCTTTTCCTGGTGAAAGATCAAATCCATTCCCGATCACATTTCGTTGGAGCAAATGATTTTTGGTGCTGAGTATGGATAAGAAAGGATTCACGACGCTTGAAATCGAATTAAGCAATCATTAAAATAGGATTCTGTTATGAACGGATTACTATTATCATTAGTTAGTTACTCAACACTGAGTAATATTAGGCACCTACTACATACGGAGTATATATTTACATGCCACATTAACAACCGTTTTTCAAAAATAAAATATGAAAAATGGTAGAAATACAAACACATTTACAAAAAAACTTTCAAACAAGTGATGTGGCTATTTTAATTAGGTAGATTCTATGGTACTCATAAGGTATCATACCTTTGTCCACATGGACCAATGAGAATGTAGCAGTTGAATTGTTTAAATCTAAATTAAAAATGATAAAGTGATGTGGTCCAATCAAATGAATGATAGGTACGGTACCCCATTTTTTAGAAAGGTACTGGAGTTGTCACCTTTTAATTATTGTAAACGTGTTGTAAATGTGATGTGATGTGTTAAATAATGTCATGATGTCACATACCCTTTTTGTAAGACTTTTTGTAAAAGTTTTTGTACTTCTAGCATAACTCATAAAATATACTCAATGAGTGAAAATACCAAAAAGTTACTATAAATACACCTCATGGTCATTATTATAATAAAAATTTAAATATTATCATTTTCATTAAATTATTCTCCCTCTCATTCTTTTTTTTTTTTGAGTTATACTCCAACTTCAACCATAATTTTTACTTTTTCATCACTTTATCAATAATTGTGTAGTTCTTTTTAAAAAAATCAAAGAAAGATATAAACAGGTAGCTACAAAAAATTATAAAAAGAGAATACAATGAATACTAAAACGCTATAAAGAAAGGAAAATAAAAATGGGGAAAAAGGAAAAAACTATCGAAAGAAAGTTTTATAAAACACTTATTATAAATGGGTAAAGGAATATATAAACAAGGTAATAAAGAAAATAAAAAGAAGAAAAGGGAATATAAGCATTGTGAGGATTAAGAAAAAAGAGAGAAAACTTTTAGAAAGGGAAAGGAAAAATTATAGGAAAAAGGGGCAAATAAGCCCACGTACAAACAAAAAAATGTCAAATAAGCCCTTATATAGGAGGCTCTGTCCGGTCGTCGCCATTTGGGTAATTCATGGTGGAATTTTTTGATGAAATTTTTTGGGAACCTTATTCATTAATTCTAGTTTACTCATACCAAATTTCAGATAACAATTCAATTGAGAAGGCATTCAAATAAATTCTTGAAGATAACTGCGCTTTTAACTGCGTTGTTATCTTCAAATTTCATTTGAATGCCTTTCTGATTGAAGTTTTAGCTGAAATTTGGTATGAGTAAACTAGACTTAATGAATAATATGCTCAAAAAATTGCATCAAAAATTTCCACCGGGAACCGCCCCAAAAGACGAAGGCCGGACATAGTCTCCTATATAAGGGCTTATTTGACCTTTTTTTGTTAGTATGTGGGCTTATTTGCCCCTTTTTTCATAATTATATATGAGCCCGTTTGGTAACACTGAAATCGGCTTAATCGCCTGATTCTACTGAAACTTCTGGAGTTCTGCCTGAAGTAGCTATATTGGCTGATTCAGCTGATTTATAAATAAATTATATTAATTTTTTTGAATGGGAACTTGTCTCTATTCATATCATAAGTTTTAGGATCATTACATCAATCAAAGGAAAATCAAATCTGACATCAACTAAACTCCAACAACTACGACTGTAAACCCTATGGTGAGACTTAGAGACGGTCACCCCTGAAAGAGCAACACGAATCGCTAACCATGCAGCGGGCTTAACACAGCCATCTCTGTTCCCATAGATCCAAACATACCCAATGACATAAAAAGAGGCTAAATTCCTAAACAAACTGAGAAACCTAACAACATAGACGGTAACAAGAAACAAAAAAAATAAAATAATAAAAACTAATAGGAGGAGGATGAAACATGAAACAAACTAAATAAGCAAAACAAGTATCTTGAACCCTAGCACCTCGTTCATCCCCTGGCGGCGGTTCAGGAGGAGGCCAGACCATCGCTATGATTGTTGACACAAACAAGGCAGAGCTCCCGCCCGTCGCTCGATTGATTCCCTGACGCGCAACCTCCTTCTGCCCCGTAATTTCAGCCCCTCTGGACGCCTCCCTTTCTCCCTCCCTTGGCTCCCGCAACTCCTTCTCCATCGGCCGCCATAGCACGCCTAGCGATATTCCTGCGAACAATTCCTTCTCTGCAAACCTAATCTTCACTCCCAAAGACGATTAAATTTAAACGCCGCACACAGGATGACAAAAACCGGAACCCTTATTCAAGGGAGACGGCCGCGGATCTCTCCAATCCCTAATTGATAAATACTACATAGTGCAAATCAGTACTCTTTTTTGGCAATTGCAAATCAATACTTGATATGTACTTATTCTTTTATTTAAAAATTATTTTATTAATAGATTTATGAAAAAATTATATGAAAAATAACTAAAATGGTCATCTATAATAACTTCAGCCAATATAGCCAGAAAAGTAACTCCAACCTTACTTTGTCTTATTATTATACAATTTAGCGCACGAAATCAAAACTTATGTGTTTGGCTAAAAAGTTGGTTGATAAGTCTGATAAGCCAAAAAACAGAGTCACCAAACAGGCTTTATATGGGGACCTCTTTGAGAAGAAAATGAAAAAATAGTGAGATAATGATTTAATGATTTGAAAAGAAAATGAAAAAATATGGAATAACAAGTTATCAACCGGTCAGGGCTCAACGGAAGAAGATGGGTGCAAAGGTGAGATTATTATGAGATTACACTTAGACGGGTTAGGTAGGACTACAATAGGAAGACCGTTAAAATGTGGAATTGTTAGTTTCTATTTTCCTTGTATTTTTATGTATTTTGATGAAATTTGGTAAATGACACCGCATTGATTTTGGTAAAATACTTCAGAAAAGTAATAGATTACCCGCCACACCTTTTTTATTTTTTCATTAGAGAGCAGCGGTCTATTAACCCTCGCTAGGGTTAAAGTTTTGGTGCTGACAGGGGTGGCCCTGGGGGGAGGGTAGCAGGGGCGACGACCCTAAGCCCA